AAAAAAAAAAAAAAAAAAAAATTGTTTAAGGACGCTACATTTACAAAATGGGGAGACTCACATGTTTAAGAAACTATTTAAATTACAGGATTATACCTGGCTTTCTTCCCATGCTATTGCATTCCATTCCGAATGATTGATGGCAGTGTCGGGCTTCTGAGGTGTTGCACGTCTTTGGTTCACGGGCAAAGAATTATTCTCTCGCTCCCACTTCTAGCATCATTAATATTCATCAATTATTCGATCAGGTTATAACTTTATACATCATTGGTGAATAGTGATTGCGCTGAATGACAATTACACTAAATTATTTCCTTAAGAATAATTTATAGATTTATCATATGATCTTCTAAGAACAAACAATGTCTTCAAAGAAATTAATGTTTTATACCAATGGTTTCTAACTTTCTTTAAATATTTGTTATTTTTGTTTTCAGAAATTTACGTAAATATTATAGCAAAAATTCCAGTGTTTCAGATGCCTAGCTTTTAATTAAATCTACTATAAAACAATATAGTGGATGCGATAATGTTCTTTCATAAATAGTCTAAGTCTATAGACATAGATTTAGTGAAGGTAGTGTGTAAAATCGAACAAAATGTACATATAGATATAGGCACTCATAAACTGCAGTTCACGTGTAAATTGCACAACAGTAATCGCTTCGTGCCAGTGTTCGACTATAGCAAATGAAAACGTACGTATGAATGTTGTTCATATCAACTAGATAGATATGATCGCGTACCTATGTGCGTATCGATCTTGTAAAGGGCCTTGACGTATTACGTGTCTCTAGAGATGTTCAATAATATGCATTGTATTTCATACGATTATGAAAATGAATAATACATACAGTTCAAGTTCAATGTAAAATTAGATGCTCCTTTTGCAAAGACGCACCGCAGTAAAGATTTTATCTACCAATAAGTGTAAAATAAGTGTAAAATAGGCATGCAATTCTTCTTAACAGTATAAATATCGATCATGTAAATTTTAATTCAGTAGAATGACACCTGACGTATCGATAAAGAGACTTGAGGCAGCAAACATGCGA